GTTGTGAGATAGAGCCCTGTGTTGGGCTCCATGCTGGATTCTCTCTCTCCAGGGCACCCAGGTGGCTCAGTCAGTTAAGTGTCTGCCTTTGGCCCAGGTCATGATCCCAGCGTCCTGGGGTTCTTCAGGCTCCCTGCTCAGCAGGCAGTTTTCTTCTCCCTCTCCCTCTGTCCTTCCCCCATCCCCCATCTAAAAAATAAAAATAAAATTAAAAAACAGTGTTTTGTCTTGCTCATCTGTCTTTTGTCAGTTTAATTTGCAAGCCCCATGCACTGAACATAAAAGGGTACAGGAAAAGTTTTTCCATCCCTGCAACACTTGAGTAATGGTTTATTAGTTTTATGTTTGGATTGTAGTCTTCTCCTACTAAAAGGCTAATATATATTGCCAAAACAAACAAACAAAAACCAATAATAGATTTTGTTTTTCCACTTGGATAGTATATTCATTACTCTCTAGTGATAGGGAATCTCACTTTACAGGTGAAATACTTAAGAAATTGTGTAAGGTACATCCATTAAAATAAAAACTTCCTTGATCATATTGACCTATTAAATTTTGACAGAACTGAATGGACTGATGATCTTTTAAAACCAAAATCATCCCAATTTCCACAAAAGTTTAATTTCCCCTGACATAAAATCTAGCCATTAGTTCTAATGATAATGTGATCTTCATCTCAAAACCCTTAGAAGCCCTCACATGAAATGATTCCAGAAGGACCCATGAGATTATGATGATTCCTCCTCTATCAGGCTCCACCTTATTTACACTTCTAGCTTATCAAATATTGTCAAAAACAACATCATATGCTCAACAGGTGCAAGTGCATTCTCAAAGAGAATATTCCCAGATAGACCCTTACATGATTTGTCTTTGGGTGACTAGGGTTGTTGGGAAGAGACACCAGTAAAACGACACCTTAGAGCTACACCAGAAAGGACCCTTTCAGGTCTTTTAACTACAAATACTGCATTTTAAAATATTTCATTTATTTATTTGAAAGAGAGAGAGAGAGAGAGAGAGCACATGCAGAGTGAGCAGCAGGCAGAGGGAGAGGGAGAAGCAGAGCTTCTCGATCCCAGGACCCGGGGTCATGACCTGAGCCGAAGGCAGACCCTTAACCGACTGAGCCACCCAGGTGCCCTTAACTACACGTACCACATTTAAACTCCAGGGTACGCACTCACGAGTACATGAAAGGCATTGTCAGTGATACCATAAACAATACGTTTGTGCTTCTTCAGTGTGCACCCTGGGATGTTCTTTTGGTGTAATCAGATGGATTTCCTATGCTTGCCATACTAAAATATGCCTATACTTTTTGAGTATACTCATTCAGCCTTTCCAGGCATTCAAAGCTGAACTTCCCTGTGCTCTCATTTTATTACTATTTTGACATATTCCCTTACCAGAAGTATCCAAGACATTATTTCACTGATTAGTGCAAGGATTTATGCTCTAGCTAGGAGTTCCTGAACTAGATCATGTTATCCATAATTTATATCAGACTCTGGCTCAAACAGCAAAAGAAATAGTGCAAGCATTAGAAGTATAATAGATGAGCATAAATTTATCAGATAGAAGTTTTATTTGCTCACCAGCCAAAATGGAGTCTGGACAATGAGCAACACATTTTATTGCACCCAATGAATACCTTAGAAGTGGAACAATCAATTAACTAAATAGCTGCTTGCTTAACCAATATTGATGAAATTAATCCTCATGAATTGCTCTCCAGGTTGGGCTTAGGCAAACGAAGAAACTGGACATGCAGTGGATTTCAACATTTCTTATTGTTATGATCATCCTTAGGCTTTTTGCTCTCCTTCGCCATCTAACATCCAGGTTCTTTTTTTTTTTTTAAAGATTTTATTTATTTAGGGGCGCCTGGGTGGCTCAGTGGGTTAAAGCCTCTGCCTTGAGCTCAGGTCATGATCCCAGGGTCCTGGGATCAAGCCCCCGCATTGGGCTCTCTGCTCAGCAGGGAGCCTGCTTCCCTCCCACCTCTCTCTCTGCCTGCCTCTCTGCCTACTTGTTATCTCTGTCTGTCAAATAAATAAAATCTTTTTTTTAAAGATTTTATTTATTTATTTGACAGAAAGACAGCAAGAGAGGGAACACAAGCAGGGGAGTGGGAGAGGGAGAAGCACGTTTCCAGCCAAGCAGGGAGCCCAATGTGGGGCTCAATCCCAGGACCCTGGGATGATGACCCAAGCCGAAGGCAGACACTTAACAACTGAGCCACCCAGGTACCCCTAATGTCCAGGTTCTCAAATGCTGCTGCATAGCCATGATCCCAAAGTTAACTCATGATCAGCATCAGAAGGAACCCGCAGCCCTCATGGTCAACCCAGCTGAGTGCTGAGTGACTGAGAGGTGTAGATGAAAAATTCTGGGAAAGTTGCTGGTATCTGGTTAGCAGAGGTGAGACGGAGAAGACGGTGACAGATGTAGCACAGACACAGCCTGTCACACATTGCTGGGAATTAAATTCCCAAGGTCCCCCGGGAATCCATAAACATCTACACTTGTTCCCCACCCCCCCCCAGGACCCAGTCTGCTGCCCAAGGGCAGAACACCCCCAGTTGACCTTTTGCTGGTTGCCAGCTTACCCCACAAGAGGAAAACAATGTTCACCATTTCCAAATATAGCTGTAGTTTTCCTTCTTTCCTCTCTCATCTTTCTTCTAGATAAGTCCATAGTTTGATAAAATCAATCTGTTATTCGTGTTTTTTGTTCAAGCAAATCAGTGCAATAATAATCAACAATATGTCTTTGGGTCATTCTTTTATTACCATGTGGATTGGGGAGATCCCCAGGCCCTGAAGCCTCTACCCAGCCCATCCCTGCATGTCACCAAAGGCTTTCTTGTTGCAGGAAAGACCAGACATGGTGGTTGAGCAGCACAAGTGGGAAAAGCTTATTAAAGAGAGAGTACCCTCTCAAGATGCGAGAGCAGGTGAGCTCCAGGGGAAAGCTGAGCTCCCTGGGGTTTTGAGTCTCTATCTTTCACTTACAGTTGTTCAAGAGGGGTGGAATATTTATTACTTGGGGATGGGATTTCTTGGGAGCCCGTTTCATACCTTTCCTCCTTTACTTGGTTAGGGTGTCTGGCTTTCCTTGTCATGGGCCTGTCTGGTTTGATCCAGCTTCTTATGGCTTTGTTTTTGGAATGGTGCCAGGGCAGGTTTCTAACTTTCCCAGAGCAGGCATGACCATGTTCTCTGGCCTCCAGGCTTTCTGTTAAAACCTAACTAACTGGGGTGCCAGGTTAGCTCAGTCATTTGCGTGTCTGACTCTTGGTTTCAGGTCAGGTCATGATCTCAGGGTCCTGAGATCGAGCCTCACATCTGGCTCTGTGCTCAGTGTGAAGTCTGAGATTCTCTCCCTCTCCCTCCCAACCCCAATAAATAAATAAATAAAATTAGAGAGAGCACAAGACTGGGGGTGGGGAGGGGAGAGCAGAGGGAGAGGGACAAGCAGACCCCCACTCAGCAGGGGAGCCAAAGTGAGCCTCTTAACCAACTGTGAGCCACTCAGGTGCCCAACCAGGGGCTTTTATAACAAAACACCACTGTCTTTCCCTATCCCAAACCATCCCCCTCCCACACCATGCCCCATCCCTTCTGGTTCCCTTCCCTTCATAGAGGCAACTAAGATCACTGGTGTCTTGTATCTCTTTCTAGAGGTATTCTAGATATGTACACACAAACTCACCTTTACATAAAGTTTGCATAATACTCTGAATCTTGCTTATGTCACTTCACAATATACCTTGGAGTTTTTTTTTTCACTGTCAGTCTAACAAATAAATACATAAATAAATAAAATCTTAAGAAAATGACTAACTGCTTACTCTAACACTTGGATACATGCTATTCTAACCTCTATGGGCCTCAGTTTCTTTATCTTGAAAAATGGGGATGTACACTATACACGTAGAGAAAATTAAGAAAGATCACAAAAGTGCCAGTGCCCAGCACTGCATTCTGCACATTTGCAGAAAAGCTGCCTTCCCAGGTGAAGTTGATGAAGGTGTTCACATCAGGCACTCTAGACGTGTTACAGGGTCACCTGGGTGGCTCAGTGGGTTAAGCCTTCAGCTCAAGTCATGATCCCAGGATCGTGGCATCGAGCCCTGCACTGGGCTTCCTGCTCAATGGGAAGTCTGTTTCTCCCTCTGCCTACAGCTCCCCCTGCTTGTGCTCTTGCTCTCCTTCTCTGGCAAATTAAAAAAAATCTTTTTTTTAAGACTCTTTTTTTCTTTTAAGATTTTACTTATTTATTTGTCAGAGAGACACACCGAGAGAGAGAACACAAGCAGGGTAACCAGGAGAGGGAGAAGCAGGCTCCCTGCTGAGGAGGGACCCCCCCCCAACATGGGGCTCAATCGCAGGACCCTGAGATCATGACCCAAGCCCAAGGCAGACGCGTAATGACTGAGCCGCCCAGGCCCCCCAATAAATAAAATCTTTTTTTAAAAGTGTAACAGGTAGAAAGGAGCTTACATGAAATGCTTGGTGGAATCCTAATCAATCAATTAATCATTGTGTGTGTGTTAAGCTCACTGCTCTGGGAAAGATACAGAAGGACAGACAAGATCCGTTCCTTTAAGGAAACAATAGGGGTTGTGGAGATAAAATACACATATGAACCAATACTTCAAGAATATGACCATGAAAAAAAAAAAAAGAATATGACCATGGTGGGGGGCACCGGGTGGCTTGGTCGCTTAAGCGTCTGCCTTCCACTCGGGTCATGATCCCAGGATCGTGGGAGAGAGTCCTGCTTCTCCCTCTCCCTCTGCCACTCCCCCTGCTTGTGCTCTCTCCCTCTCTCTCTGTCAAATAAATAAACAAAACCTTTTAAAATAAAAACAATGAATATGGCCATGGTGGAGCTTAACAATATGAATAAACTGTGGGAAGGCAAAGGAGGGTGAGGGGTGCTTAATGCAGGAAGATTTAAAGGTGTGGAGGAACAGAGGCAGACTGACCTGGTCATCGGAAACCTGCATCTTAGCTCCTTCTGGTGCCCAGTCGAGTTCCTCAGCATGATGTGTTACAGGTCAATACCCTAGACTGAAACCTTGAGTGACAGAAGCACTTTGGGCCTCACTTTCCTCACCTGTAAAATAAGAATGACCATATCTACATCAGAGTAGTGTGCTTTACTCGTGAAATTTGGTGAAGAGCACTTAGCAGATTTAAAGCAGGAAATTTATAGTAGCTGCTATCATTGCGATTTCAGTTCCCTATCATTGACATTGCCTTTTTAAAAAGATTTATTTTTATTTTAGAGAGAGAGGAGAATGAGGTGGGAGAGGCACAGAGGGAGGGAGAGAGAGAGAGAGAGAGAGAGAGAGAATCTCAAGCCGACCCCACCAAGCACAGAGCCCGACACGGGGCTAAATCCCACGACCCTGAGATCGACCTGAGCAGAGACCAAGAGTCAGACACTTAGCCAACTGCAACCCAGGCACCCCTGACATTTCCTTTCTATTCTTCATTCTCTCACATCCCCTCTTGCAACACCCGCTTTGCTCCCCCTTTCATAAAAGTTCCTTGTTCTTCCTGGCTTCTCCTTTTGTTTACCCTGTATGTACCCTAACTCCCTCCCCACCCCACCCCACCCACCCCACCCCCAAACACACGCAGAACTCATCTGTCACTGCCTTGCTTAGCTTTCCGAGGTCTAGATTAAATCAGGACAGTATTTCCAGCATGTTTTTGCCTTTATATAATAGCACTCTTCGCGGACAGCACTATGTCCTAATAGCTTTTGTAGGCAGAAGCCTCTGATTGGCTTATGAGGCAAGCATACTACTTTAGTAGCCTTTGAGTTTCCTGAGGCCCGCCAGAACAAGGCGCAGAGTTGTCCAGCTAGATCCCCAAAGTCGGAAATTTGGTTTCTCTGGGATAAAGGCCAAGTAGCTCCCCCTGCCGTTCCTGAGTGCACTTGGCTTCTGCGCTGCATGGGTAGGGCCCTAAGAGGAACTGACCTAGGAATGAGAACCAGTCATCTAACAATCTGTGTCCATTGGGAGTCCTTCAGCATCTTGAACAATAAACGTTTGTGGTGACTGAAACCCCTGACAAGAGTCATTCATAACTCCTGGATTTATGTGTTTGGCTGGGCAAGTGAGCACAGGTGCACCTGCGTAAGTATCAAGGCCCCCAAATCTTGTACTGGGTGACTTCCTGCGTGTTTTTCAAGTTTTCAAAACCTGCGCTGACCAGGGCATAGTCAGCTTTATCCTGCGCCCATGTAAGAGAGCTTCCATTGTGTGGGAATGTGTGGAGATTATTTTTTTAATAAAAGCCAAGTGTTCCCTGTGGACCAGTTCCTTAATTTCACAGTGAAATAGTGTCTGTGCCAGGTTTGATTTATTGTTTCTTTAAACATCGCACCTACCTTCAGGTTTATTCGTCTCATTAAAGATATTCTGCTTCTCTTTTTCATGCCCACCTCCTTAAAGGCAAAGAAGGGCTCAGTGGGGGGGGCGTCTGGCGCCCCCTGTAGAGTCCCCTTCCTTTCCGCGGAGCCCTGTCAGGGGCTACCTTTCCACAGGGGCATCAAAAAACAAGCCAACTATCCCCTTCCAGCTTTTGCTATGGAGATTACGAATGTGTATATGAAATCTAATAACTTCGGTTATGGTTTCCAGGCAGCAGTGGTGGTGAACGGCTTATCCTGCTGACAAACGTGCTTCATGAAGATCTGCCCTTACCCCAGGCACTGGAAAAGATAAACAGGATAATCCTAAAGACTCCTATGCAGTCACAGGAACCTGGAGCCATCTGGTCGGGACAAAAATAAATCCGTGATGAAGGTTTCGTGAACCTCCAGGGACTTGGGCAACTGAAATGGCATGACTCGCACAGAAGAGCATGGGGAGACCGGCAGCAGGGACCACGGAAGCCACCCTAACTAACACACATGGAGCAAAGGACTTCTAGAATAAAATGCCTTGTATTTTCTGGGGCTAAAGCTCAGAAAGTAACTTGAAAGTCTCCCAGCTTGATAGAGACAAATCAAAACATGAACTGATTGGAGGAGAAGCTCTTTTCTGGTACAGAAACACAACACAACACAACACAACAGAAACTAGAAGTGTCATTTAATTGGCATTTAGCAAACCAGAGGGCTCAGCCAAGCAGAATTATTCGGCTGCCTTGTGTCAAGATGCTCCTCTCTGAGAATTCCGTGTGGAGTTACATTTTTACATATGCTTCGGGTTCTAGATTGAGCAAATCACAATTATGCAATATTTGGGACATAGTCATACTAAAAATTGTTTGTTGTTTATCTGAAATTCAAATTTCACAGGACATCCTATATTTTATCTGGCAGTCCCACTGTGAAAATCAACGAAAACCACCCAAATAAGAACAACAACTAAAAAAAAAAGCGATTTATTTAGAATATGCTGTAGCAAGGGAGTCAGGCATCATCAATTACGGTTGGCAGAGATGCAAAGCAGGCAGCAGAGTGGGAAAGTTTTATAGTAAAAAAAAAAAAGGAAAGACGTCAGGTATGCCCTGTGGAAAGAAATGAAGACAAACCAAATGAGAAAAGCAAAGGCCATTTATTCTGAGCTTCTGAGAGCAAGGGTGTCATACACCATCACTTGCCTTTCAGCAGACTCAAAGGCAGACAGAGAGGGTAAAGCCTATAGTAAAAAAGAGAGAGAGAGAGAGAAGGCTTCAGGCGTGCCCTGACTGGAGGCCATTGGGATGGGGAAGCTGTAGGCAGATTAACTAGAAGCAGGGCTTCCTAGATGATTGGTTCGGGGAACATACTTCGCTTTTTCCCGTTGGTCCGAATTTAGAAGCCAGAGAATGAAGGAAGCTTGTCAGTTACTAATCAAGTCCTGGCCATTTAGGGCTGGTTGTTACAGAAGGTGTATGATTTATAGCAGGCTGGCTTCCTGTATTGTTTATTGTTGATAAGGGTCTGTTTTCCTGAGCAGGTTGCTGCAGGTTGTAGAGCCAAGTTCTATTTTTTTTTTAAGATTTTATTTATTTATTCGTGAGACAGAGAGAGAAAGAGAGGCTGAGGGAGAAGCAGGCTCCCAGCGGAGTAGGGAGCCAGATGTGGGACTCAATCCCAGGACCCTGGGATCATGACCTTAGCCGAAGGCAGAGCCACCCAGGCGTCCCCAAGTTCTATTTTTTTTAAGATTTTATTTATTTATTTGACAGAGATCACAAGTAGACAGAGAGACAGGCAGAGAGAGAGAGGGAAGCAGGCTCTCTGGGAAGCAGAGAGCCTGAAGTGGGACTCGATCCCAGGACCCTGAGATCATGAACTGAGCCGAAGGCAGCGGCTTAACCCACTGAGCCACCCAGGTGCCCCCCAAGTTCTAGTTTTATATGTGGTCTGATCACTGCCCATTCGCATATGCTGTCTCTCGGTTCTGATGGGAGGCTGCTGGTAGGAAAAGCTGGGAGCGGGCTGTGGGGCGCCTGGGTGGCACAGTCCGTTAAGCATCTGACTCCTGGTTTCAGCTCAGGTCATGATCTCAGGGTCCTGAGACAGAGTCCTGCCTTGGGCTCCATGTTCAGTGCAGAGGCTGCTTAGGACTCTCTCTCTCTCTGCCCCTCCCCCACCCCCAAATAAATTATTATTTTTTAAAAGCTGGAGCATGGCTACTGAGAAGCCGGGTCTTCTGTGATTGGTTTGGGAAGCAGATTTGGCTTTCCCTGTCGAGTGCTGAGTTGAAAGCTGGAGCCAACAAGAGGGAAGCTGGCAGCTGTTAATGAAGTCCAAACCAGGAATTTGGAGCCTGCGTGGCTCCAACTCAGGCACCCGAGTTTCGTGTTTTATCTTTCTCCCTACCACTAACATTTTACCAAAGGTCTACTGATAATATATGTTCTAAACCAGCCATCCTCAACCCCAGATACACGTTCAGATAATCTGGGAAATGAGTTTTGAATGTTGATGCCTGAACCCCAGACCCAGCTTGATTGGTATAAGGTGGGCCTGAAAATTGGTATTTTTAAAAGTTCACCTAGACAATTCCAAGGGGCAGACAGGGTTAAGGAAAACTGTATTTAAAAATAATGTATTATTTTTAAATTTAGATTTACTAATTATATTTTTATCAAGCAATATAGTTATAAAGTTCTAAAAGTCTACTGATACTTTCTAAGGCTTTTAAAACTGCAATGTCTGGGGTCCCTGGGTGGCTCAGTGGGTTAAAGCTTCTGCCTTCAGCTCAGGTCATGATCTCAAGGTCCTGGGATCGAGCCCCGCATCAGGCTCTCTGCTCAGCGGGGAGCCTGCTTTCCCTCCTCTCTCTGCCTACTTGTGATCTCTGTCTGTCAAATAAGTAAATAAAATCTTAAATAAATTAATTAATTTAAAAAATAAATAAAAATGCAATGTCTTTTCTTTAAAGAATTTGTCAGAGAGAGAGCGCACAAGCAGAGGAGCAGCAGGCAGAGGGAGAAGCAGGCACCCCACTGAGCAGGGAGCCCAAAATGAAGCTTGATCCCAGGACCCTGGGATCATGACCTGAGCCAAAGCCAGACACTTAACCAACTGAGCCACCCAGGTGCCCCAAAAAATGCAATGTCTTGTTCTACTCTTACCCATCTCTGATTGTCATTCCGCAGAGGCAACCACATTCAACCCTTTTAACTATTTCCTTAAATTATTTACCTCTATTTATCAGTGCTATTATTATACTGATATTACTTATTTTCAATTTTATCTATTATAAGTTGACTTCCTACTATAGAAGATAAAGATCTACCTCTTTTCTTCCAGCATTTTGCACACATACTTTGCCTTCCTCCCATCTTCCCAGCAGATTTATATTATGGTTTGGGGTTAAAGCAATAATCAGTGTTAACATAATTATGGCCATGTAAATATAATAAAATGGCAAACTTGTGCCCTAACATATCAATAATTAACTTAAATATAAATAGTTTAATTATACCAATTAAAAGAGATATTAGCAGCATAGATTTTAAAAAATTAATCTAATCATATACTGTCTGTAAGAAACCCACTTCAGGGACACCTTGGTGTCTCAGTCTTTTAAGCATCTGCCTTTGGCTGAGATCATGATTCCAGGGTCCTGGGATCGAGCCCCATATCGGGCTCCCTGCTGA